ATTTAACCCGTCATGATGACTTCAACAGGAAGTGCCAACGTGAGAAATTTGTGGAATCCAAATGTAGCATGGGCCCTTTGATTAACAGAAGATATATAAATATAACTTACTAAATTTTGGATCATCTTCAAGGATGTTTTGCCAAATTATTCAAACATTATTATGATGATTTTTTAAAAAATACATAAGGTTTGGGAAAATGCTATAAGCCATGACTAAAGTTCTTTCATTACAATGAGCTTAATTTAAATTCTTGAAAAATAGATGACAGCTCACTGATTTAATGCCTCAAAGGAATCAAAACTGTGGTGGATGCACAGAACTTCTAGAAAAGGTTGGAGAGAATCATATGTGCTGACATTTTTGCATTTGCTGGAAATTTAATCTGTGATTCACATGATAATGACTTAGATGAATATATCTATATCTATGTATGATATGGAAGTCAGTTACCTGAAGTTTTATTTTCGATTCAGTTCTTAAATTTTCAAAGGCAGTATAAGCAGAGGACTTTGGTTTACTTTCAAGCACTTGACATTTTTTTCCAAAGCTAGTCCCATTTCTGAAAGATATCTAAAAAGTTTTTATCTACTTTTTTTTTTCATGGCCAGTTTTACAAATTAAAGGTCTGTATAGGTGTTTTATCTTACAACAACTTGGAAATCATTTAGCATTGAAATGTTTTCTTTCTCATCTGAGGCAACTCAGGCTGAATGTTAATTCAGTTCATAGTTAAATGACATTTAATTTTTTTAAAAAGAATATGCAACTTTATATTTTTTGAGTGTTATTCTTCTACTCTGGGAACTCTAAAAGATGAAAATGCAGAGGTCCTTATCAGATCATTTACAGAAGAAAAAACACTATAATACCCTATAAGCCCTCCCAATAAAGTTGCATTCAGCCCTACCCAGTCTTATTCTCATTAGCAGTGAAGAGTGTGCTCCCCACGTAATCTAACATGGAATGCTTAGAGCAGACAGGTGCAAATTGCAAGCTGTTTCACTTTGGCTGTTATCCCTTAAATCGACAAAGTAATAGACTGGGAGAACAAAAAGAGTTCCAGCTCAAGCCGAATAAATGAAAGTCTTAACAGGGACACACCAGCTGGCTAGGAGGATTCAATGTCGTGGACACTAAATGTTACCTTTATGCCACTTGCCAAGGAAGACGGCTTCAATGACACCCCCTACCTTTTATTATTGAGGTGATGTTGCTTCCAAACCGTATTTTGCTTTATTGTAAAGGCAACACGATGGCCGAAGTGGGGGAGAACAGAAGCCAACATACCTGTTCCTGTTTACCATCATTACACTCCTCGCAGCAATTCAGGCATGATTGGGTTCCTGGAGGTGGACCAGATTGGCAGTATTTCTGTCCGTGCCTTTTTTTTTTTTTTTTGGCTGATCCTAGCAAAGCCCCAGAGCAGTGAAACAACAAAAACAATCACCACCACCCCTCCTCCCCAACATGATGACGCTACTGAGCTAGTTGGCCGAAGAAAAAAAAACAACAGTGGTTCATGTTAGGAACACCTAAATTAATTTCGTGGAAGAGACATGCCATGCCAGGCTATGTAGGAATCTAAGGTATGCATCTCTGAAAAGGGACCCTGAGTCTGTCATTCCAAAGTTGCTTCTTCCCATGACTCCCCAGTACGCCCTGGAACCGCTGTCTGGAAGAAGGAACTTTAACTTTGGCTCTGAGGCCGCTGAGCGGGTCTGACTGCGGGGTCCTCCGCGCACGTGAAGGAGGGCGAAGACCCCGGAGCCGGCCTTGTTTACAGCCAGGCGGGAGAAAACATCCAGACACAGATGCGGGCTGACGGTTTCATGAAGCACAATCGGTTGATCCCAGATGCAATCTGACTGCCCTGAACTGAGCGATGAGCTGTGCAGTATGCAGAATTCACTCTCTTGCTGGTCTGTACCCACCAGGCCTGGAGCCGCGCTGCCCACGCCCCTCGGCCGTGGCTGTGAGGGCAGCCAGAGCTGGGCGCTGCACCCGGGGACCCGATGCCTCCTGACGACAAATCACATTCTTTTACAAACTTCCTAGGTTTTGGTTGTCGCGGGTTAGAAATGATTTTGTTGCTGTGGCGCACGTTTGTTACTCGATCGTTGATTTCCTTTCGAGTTGAGCGAGTCGGCATCAAAAGATATTTGCTGCTTTTTAATGCAAAGGAAAATATCATCGAAAACACTGTCAGTTCTTACAAATTTCAGGCAGTTTTTTTCCCCCTTTGTTCAGATCACAAAGTATTACTTATTTTCTTCTACACTCTATCATGTACTTATATTTAATAGAAGAACCTTCCCAAAACTTCAGGGAAAGACCTGTAAGAGAAATAGATTTATCACTAAGCACACATATAAATGTGTTACTAGAAACTGGTCATTTTGATTTTAAAGTTAGAGTATATTATATCAGTTAAATAGAAACGTGAAGGAAAAAAGCCATGAGGAATATCCATAGTCGTATTAGTTAAGACTTCTATGTATTTTGCTTTCTTTTTTCAGAACTAAATAGATAACAATGAGAAGCAGGAAGATACTAGGGAATAAATTTTGTTTCTTTAATTTAATTTTTGGGATACAATCCGGATACTTAACACATTAATGTGAACTTATTAAAAATAATAACACAAGAGTATGCCAACTTATCAAGTGGTAATGAATGAAGGAATTGATGTAAAATGTAACCGAAGGATTATTTAGTATGAGCTAAAGAGATAAAATCTCATCAAGAAAGAGAGAACCTAAATTGAGAAGAGGGTGGAAGAAAATGCAATTTACACCACTTAAAGGTGCCCATGTGTAAAGGAGAGAAAAGAGTGAGGAAATTGACAAAGGAGAGAAGTCAGAAATCACTCCCAATTTCCTCTTGAACATGTGTTACTAGTAAAAAGGTCACAGAATATAAACCATCACTTGGTAATCCTCTCAAAGACTTTATCTCTGGTGTGTACGATCAGACTTTGCTTTCTTTTTGAATATGTGAACTTGTGAAAATATCTGAGACCCTTTTAACATTGGAGAGCAAGTACC